TGTTGATGATGTTTTTGTTGATGATTTTTTTTTTGATGATGTTGCTGAATGATGTTGTTGATGATGAGTACGGGGATTTTCCAGGGTCAGGGAAACCCGATCCCCGTTAGGGGGCGAGGGTGGGGGGGTGATGGGTTCCCCGCGGGGGATCGAGGCCGGGGACGGGGAATATAGTAGTTTTGGGGATTGGGGACGGGGAGTGTGATCCCCGGCCCCGCATCGGCCCGTTGCCATTCCTAGAACTTAGGCTCCAGGTTCATTTAGAAATTTAGAAATTGTTTTTTGAATTATTTTTTAATTTTTTATGGAAAAAACATGTGAAAAAATAAAGAGAATATAATAATTTTTTTAATATAAAAAATTTCAATTTATACAAAAAAAAAAAAAAAAGAGTCAAAGATGTATTCTCATTTACACTATTTTTTGCATATTTTTCTGTGAAAAATAAAAATTCTCCTCAAATATTTTTCTTTTTTCATCTTATATGTTAATCAAAAACATAAAAGTCTAAAAATGTTATTTCCCAAACAGACGCTTAGTGCTCTATTTTGTATCCAGAATTTGAAATACCTCAAAAGTTTAGGTAGGCTGGACGTACATATCGTACTCGTGCTTATATATATATATATATATATATATATATTTTGTTAAAACAAAATTTAGAGAGGAAAAAGATATACGATCTTATCTCCTTTTGAGACTCGTGTGTCAAAAAATATATATATATTTTTTGATCTTTTTGGCGTTGGTTTGTGTATTCAAAGTAATACATATTTTTATTAAAAAACAAAAACATATTTCAATATCATCTTTGCCAAATGGTTGGCTGCTTGCGTCCGAATTCTATAGAGTGAAATTGTGTGGAGTATTTGTAGAGTGAGTCAAAACATCATTTTGATTAATGTAAAAATAAAATAAACGAAACAACGACTTGTTGTCGCGCTCTCTCTCTCTCTCTGTCCTTTTGTTTCTTTTTTTATTTTCATTTCTTATATTAATGAAAACATCGTTTTGATTCACTCTACAAATACTCTAGACAACTTAGAATCTGGATGCATCAATGATGGCACTCACTGACATTTTTATAGAGATTAATTATTACATTGACCAAAAAACAAATATTGTCACATTGACAAGCAATACTTCTGTAATTTTTACCATATGAAGAATATAGCATGGAATAAAGGGTAATTATAATATATGCCTCATTTGGCATATACTGCTGTCATCTTCACCTGGACAATGCCATAAAGTGGGGACTTTGGGTTGCTTTCTCATTCGATGTATATATATATTTATACATATGGGGACATCGTAGGACCACACCTGGCTGTCCTAATTTTGGGTTGTCTCATCACTCTGACGTAGAAAACAAAACGTTTAGACGAACAGGCAACCGGACACAAAAATTGTGTCTGGACACAAAAACTATGCACCTAATTGTCCGATAGAATGATCGGTCAAAACTTATCAATCACAATCACAGCTGTCATAATATCTTTCGATCGCCCGGCCGATCATCCAGTAAAACAATTTCTGTGTTTGATTAGGTATTTAGTTCTCTATGTGCAATAGCATTGCTGAGTAGAAAAATATACCACGCTATTTTAAAATTTTAAAATATACATATATTTAACAAAATATAATTTTTTTACCATGTCATACAATATTTTCTTACCCATTTATCTTTTATTTTTCTTTCTTTTAGTTCATTTTTTTTTTCAAGAAACATTTTTTTATACATTATTCTTGATATCAAGTAGAGTGTAAATAGTTAATGAGGTCCATACTTTTTCTTGATTAGATTTTCTTCCCATTCCTACTTAACAACCAATGACAACAGATTTCAGATAATTGCTAAAACCCTAATTTGTCAAGAAGCACCATAGTATTCTGAAATATTGGCCATGCCATGTTTGGCAAAAACCTAACTTGCCTCATATCAGCTCATTCGAAGAACTCAGTGTAACAACCCGCATTTATGTCTTAGTCATGTTCATGAGCATTTGTATGATTATGACTCGTTGAGCTTGCATATATATGTTTATGCTTTGTTTTGCCTAAGTAAGGTCCATGCCTTGTTTTATGTTTATGTGATTTGCCTAAGTGTTGTGTGCATGCTTTGTTCCTTCTTTGGTGTCTCAAGCCTAAGTTATGTCAAGTCTAAGTCATGCCAAGCCTAGGTTATGTTAAGCCTAGATCATTTCGAGCCGAGGTCACCTTCAGCCTAGAAATTGCCGTGGAACCACTTTGTTTGACCTCCACCTTCGCCTTGACATATTGGCCGAGATGTCATTATCTAGGCCGAGGTGTTCATCACCAAGTCCGAGATGTGTATTATCTAGGCCGAGATGTTACCTTTGCACCTGGTGATCTTGTCCTAGAATGGTATGACCTAAACCAAGGTGTGGCACATCTAGGCCAAGGCGTGGCACAGCTTAGTCAAGTGTTGTCCTTCCTAACCGATGTCATTGTCACCTTAGTTGCCGAAGCTTTGTCCTTAGCCGATGTCATCACGTGCCGGAGTGCCTTACCGAATAGCTTGTTAGATACACTTTGTCAGAGTCTTGTCTTGTCAATTTATCACCTTTTTGAGGAGAACCAACCAGCCGTTGCCACGTGTCCGAGCTGAGTGTTAAGTCAGCCGATAGAGAGAGAAAACCTATCATTTCTATATCTTTGTTTTGAAGAGGAGAGAGAAGCTCTAGAAGAGGGAGAGGAGTTCTTGAGGGAGAGTAGATTTCCAAGCTTGATCCCTGGAGATCGAACCGTTAGACCCGTGTTCTAAGGTTAGATTCTTAATCTACTCATGTTGTTCTTTATGTTCATGTTATTGCATTGCATGATTGAATATGATTTGTAAGCCATGCATTGCTTTGAAGTTCGGTTTTAGAAAGAGAAAATAGTATTCATGTGTTCTTCAAGAAAAGTCATGTTTTGATCCGAAAGCTCTTGCCTAGATTCATGTTTTTGTGTTTGTTTTCATATGATTTTCAAGTATGGGTACCCAGGTCCATGTTTTCGAACTCACAGCATGAAATCCCAGATTTTTGTAATAAAGAAGTTATGATTTTAGCATTCATATTCTTCATGATCTTCATGTTCATGTTCTTCATGTTCTTCACGGGTGGAAACCCAGATCTCCAGACCTCACTTCCCGAGGTGTAGTCGCCGAGATCACGCTTACCTAGACCTCACACTTAGGCCAAGTATCGTATCTCACCTTGGCCTACCTTGCATGATCACTTACACCTTTAGTTTGTCTTGTGCGCACCTCGGCATGCAGCCGCATGCCGAAGCCTAGGTAGCCACACCTCGGCCAGGAGGTGTGGGACCTCGGCAAAGACCTGGTTGGTACCCAGCATATCTTCCTGACATATAAAACAGTGTTTTGACTTCCAGCATGTTTTCCCGAGATCATTTGCATGTATGTGAGACCTGTTTTGAGAGTATGTTCAGTATGCTTTGCCATGTGTTTGTAGGACTTGGACCTTTGCTTTGATCCCGACATCCCAAGAACTAATGTGAGTGGTATTTTTAATAAAGTTATGTTATAAAGTTTTGATAAAGTTTTGCCTTGTCTTGATAAAAGTATTTGCTAAGCATGAATGATATCCCTATTTTACGTATCAAGTATAAGTTTTGCGTATCAAGTATAAGTTTTGTTTTGATGACATTCTCGGAAAGTCCCTTGTGCTGGAGGACTCTAAACTTTTGCAGCACATCTTGTTTTGAAAGTCCCTTGTGCTGGAGGACTCTAAACTTTCGCAGCACATCTTGTTTTGAAGGTCCCTTGTGCTGGAAGATTCTAAACTTTCGCAGTACTCTCGTGTTAGGAGGCTACGGGCCTTTGTAACATAGGTCCTTTGTGCTAGAAGACTCTAAACTTTTATAGCACCCTTGTTTGAGATATCTCCCTTGCCACCGACTGCCTTGTGCAGGTAGATTTGTCTAATCGATTCCGGGTCGATTATTCCCTTGTTTTGGAAGTCCTTAATGTCAGGGGACTATAATGCAACTGCACATCTTGTTTGAGGGTCCTTCCGTGCTAGGGGACTTTAAGCCTAGGTAGCACGGTCCTTTCGTGCTAGGGGACTTTAAGCCTAGGTAGCACCGTCCTTTCGTGCTAAGGGATGTTAAGCCTAAGTAACACCCTTGTTAAGATATCGACCACCGACGGACTATGAACGGGTGTGCTCGATGCCGAGGTTATGCTTTTGTTTTGAAAGACCAAGGCTCGATTGATGTTTTATTTCAAGCCAAGCTAAGTTATGTTATGTATGGTTTTGACAAGGATATACTATGTATTGTTTGAAAAGATCTCGGGTATCATTCATTTAACCCATTTATTACTTACACCATTCACTGAGTATCCAAGCTTACCCTCCCTATGTATCCAAGCTCACCTTCCCTATGTATATACGTAGGTAACAAGCAAGAAGTCGGTTACGCCGAGATGTGTGTTTTGCATGTATATTATGTCGGCAGTGAGGATGTCGGCAAACTAGAAGATTATGTTTCATGATTTGTGGCTCAATTGTTTTTGTTTATGTCGGCAATCTTGAAGCTTATGTATTTTGAACATGTCGACTCGAGAAGCCTTTTATCAAAATGTAATATGTATTTTTGTACTTCATTTTATTTGTATTCAAGTTTTAAGGCTATGTAAAAATGTATGCCATTCTATTTGACTTATGCACTGCTCTTATAGATCACTTGTATTTTAAATTATTGCTTCCGCACTTGTGAGCCCCATATATTTATACTCTGATTGTGTGTGAATTTTGAAAGTTGGCCTTCGGTAATCTCGGATTACTGGCCATCACGACACCAAATTACTAGGGACGGTTTGGGATCGTGACACTCAGCCTTGCAACCCTAACTTCCCAAACAACTCACAATTCTCCCTCTTGATTCCAAAACCAATCAAACAAAAAAGAGAGCAAAAAATAAAATAGAATAGAATAAACTACATCAAGAAAGCAAGCAAACAAATGTCATCTTCATGAAACCACAACAGTGAAAATGGCTCAAGCCTGTTTTCTCAGGCGTTAGTTTTATTGGCATTTCTGCTGCAGCATTTACACAGGCAAAAACGCTTCTTATATATTAGTGCTGCCTTTTTTCTTTTTTTTCTTTTTTCTTTGTCGATGCAATAGAGAATTTGTGTACAGAAGCAATTAATTACATACTAAAAATATATAAATTTTTTTCCCTAACAACCCTAGTAACTCAAAATGTGAAAATCACATTTATGGACTTTGTTAGTGAAAGAAAGGATTACCGGCACGCCAGGCAGGATATAAGGTTTGCTTGTCAGAATGAAGAACCGATCCACCAAAAATGAAGCCACAAGTGTTGACTGTAAAAATGCTCAGCAACCAGCAAAACCGAGAAGACGAATACCCCATCATCACCACCACCACCACCTCCGACCCCATAATCAAATAAACCAAATGGCAGACAAGCGATTCAATCATTCAGACCAGCCAGCAAACCATAAAAGGCTAAGTGCCCCATTTTTTTGGCCAAACAAATTCCAACCACCAGCTCTAGCCTCTCATCCCATTTTACAGAACATATGAAAAAGGTTTAATGAAGCCCCACGACCCACCTCTATTATGCAAAGACATGCATATCAAATCGGCCCTCCTAACACGTGACTCAACTTTTTCTTTTCCGGGCCAGCAGACAACTTTCTGCACAATTAAAGAATCCTAAATTAGGCTGGGCGTGGGCGTTCCTGATGCAAATAAGCCAACCAGATTATAATACAACCAAGAAACTGCTGCCACCTGTCATGACCCAAAATTCTAAAACATTGTCCACATCGCACGTGCCTTGTGAACTAATCAATCTAAAAATGAATTATTAACCAAGATTAAAAGAGCAATGATAGAAGATGACGTCAAAGAACCACTGGTAAGCCATAATTGTGGAACGATCTGATCCGTCCATCCCAACCAGCAGTAACAATAACCATATCCCAGGCATGAGAACCGGACGTGCTTTGGCATGTTTTCAGAAACTTGAATTGGGATTTATGCATTGCAGACGACACAGTCCGCGGGCTTGAACTAAGCAGCTTTTCCTCGGGCCAAGTTGCGGATGCCTTGGGAAAAGACTCTAAAACGAACTCTTGGCCTAGAGAGAAACAAAGAGGTGAAGAGAGAGGCAATGTATTTGGTGAAGTCTCATCGTCCAAGATGCGAATTTGCCATCCGGGTTCTGAATTTCCGGATTTCAAGCCGGACCATGGTATGGCAACTGACACATTGGTAGAGAACCGTTCCCATGACCTTGACATTTTTGGTTGGGACGGAGAAAGCTCTTCTTCATTAATGCAGTCCCATATGTATACATTAGAATCCTCACATGTAGAGACAATATGCTTTCCATCTGAGGTTAAAGATGCAAAATGTCGGTTTCCTGTATTACGAAGGCCTGGAGAAAGAGGCAGATTAGAATTTGAAACAAAGCTTCAAAGAGGGTCACATTCAAGAACAGAGTTACAAAACACCACTCTTTTGAATAGAAATACCATTTATTGACGCCCAATAAAATCAAATCAGTGCGTTGTTGGGTGCAGGTTATGGAGTTGCTTATAGCTCTTTATTTTTTATATTTTTTTTGTTTTGGAAATTCGTGTCAATGTTTGGTGCAACTTCTGTTTATAACTTTTGCGGCATAAATAGTTTAAATAAGTTGAAAAGCACTAATTATTGAGAAACACAGAAAGTGGTGCTTTTAACTTCTGCTTTCTAATTATCAACTTTAAGATTGCTAAAAGTTGTACCAAACAGGCCGACACAACGCTGATAACAACCTCAGAAGGATTTACATTGTTGGAAACAAATATGGATTAATACAGCAAAAGGCAAGTCATCAAGTAGGCCATCTATGAAGAATCTAAGACGAGAGAGAAAGATCGTACCCCCATATTTGCCAACAACATTAAACCCGCGAATAATTCTGACTTGTGAATCTGCACAAGTGACCATAAGCTTACTTGGGTCTTGTGGGAAAAACTGCAATCGAATAACATGAAATTAGGAAGAGTTGCACATTTAGTTGAATAAAAAATGAATTTGTAATAAATAGAAGCACCATTGCATGCAAAAAATGATTAAAGATGACTACCTGGAAGCCAGTTATCCTTTTGCATGGTGCCTTTTTCTTGCTGTGTAAATCTATCTGAGCATCCAGCTGAAAATGGCCATCTGATACAAGCAAAGCACGGACCAATTCGTAAATCTAAAGTTTTCTTTAGAATTCAGGAGATTTTGAAACAATTTACAATATGTTATATAGGACATTCCAGCCGAAGTATTGCAAGTCAACTATTGAGATCTAAAAGTACTGACTTTTAATTTCTATTCAAAATCAGAGAGCTAACAGGAACATGTCCACTCCTTTTAGCCAAAATCCATAATGCAATATCAAAACATCTTCACGGGGAAGACAATATGAAAACTGAAAACCCTTTCCACTTTGGTCCGGTACAAGACCTTGTTTACTAAAAGTGTAACCAAACCAAACCAAACTAAGCCTTACGTCCTAATTAAGTTGGGTTGGCCACATGAATCTGTTTTTGCCATTCAACCTTATCAAGGGCTATATGCATACTAGGGATTCATGTTCATAAGGGATCTGACAGGGATTTTATGTGTTGGCTGTCAAGCTAGCTAACACAACCCTACTCCTTTATCTGGACTTCGGACTAGCTGTATAAAAGATTAAACACTAAGCACGACACATGCCACAAGTGTATTGAAACAAAATTGCATGCCACAATAACACTAGTATTTTTGAGCTTGGGAACTCCACATACCACAACCATGCAACTTGTTACTCATATTAAAGTATTAAACTAAGTCGTCCTATACCCAAAAACCTAACTAGACCACAATCCATACAAGACATGTTTGTTTGGGCAGACAAGGCCTTGGAATTGGACTAATGATCCAACAAAATGCATAACCTAATGTTTGGCTAAGAAAATTGGGGTCCGGACTAATATCCATCCAACATAGTATATCCCCCCATATGGGGAGATTATTGAATCCCAAGAGGGGATGGGATACAAAATGCAGGACTAAGAAGAGATTCGGACTAATTAGTTAAATTGCAAAATTATGATAATATTTTCTCAATCCCTCCTTGTAATCCCAATACAATCCAATCATGGGATAGGATATAGAAAAGATAAAAGGCAAAACAAGCAAAATGAACGTACATGTTGTGACAAACTAAACAATAAATCATAAGTGCTCAGATATTAACCAAGCATTACACCTAAAACTGCTAAAAGAACCCCACAGTGATAGGCTTTCTTTGCAATGCACAATAGCACAAGGGTCAGAACATCAATCAACCCCCATGCACACACTAAAAGAGAAAATATATTAATACCAATTGCCTTAATAGTATTTTAATTTACCTGACATGTCATAAAAGTGGCAAGTGCCTTTCATGGAGCCAACAATCACACCCTGTATGACAGATAAGGAAACTGTTCAATTTAAATGTCTTTCGGTTTCTAAGATTACAGCCTCAATTGAAAGAGATGCAAAGACAAGACAATCTTCAAACCTTCCCATTAGGGCGATAGCACACAGCAGTGATAATATCTTTTACATATGTCCAATCAACAACTTGGCAACCAGTAATTGCCCAAATCCGAACTTTTCCATCTATTGAACCACTGATGAACTGATTATTGTCCACAGGATTAAACTGAACACATGTCACTGCATGACACAAGAATATGATGAAAAAAGTAACTAATTACTATGTAAAATAGTAATTTAATAAAACTCTGCATGATCCACTAATCAGAACTATCTAAGGAAGAAAAACGCAAACAGCGAGAGCCGCACCGTAATTACTATGTGAAAAAACTTTAAGGCAATGCTCACATCCGACTTGCCATAAACGAACAGTTTTATCAATTGATGATGAAAGAAGGCTCTGCAACAAGAACAGAAATAATTAAAATTCAATTTAATATCTGCCAAGTTTGGGAAAACTTAACTACTTTACAATTAATAACTTACATTAGCCTTCGACCATGAGAGATCTAAGATGTCATCACCATGCCCATGGAACTGATGTAGTGGCTTCTCCAATATCCGAAAGACCCTCGGTGGGAAGATGACACAAGCTGAGTCTGCCATTTTTTTTAGGCTCTTCAATTTATCCAATTTCTCTTTCTGCCCGATGAAGGGTGAAAGCTCAGAAAGATGATTCACTGTGAAATAAATGCATGAAGGATCGATGTCTGGAATGTCAATTTCATTTGATCTTGGATCTTCCACCACTTGCCAAACACGCACAATACGATCTTTACCAGCAGTCGCAAGGTACTGCCCATCAAGGCTAAATTTCATTGTCAAAATTGAACCTTCATGGGCTTGGATATCTTGTCCCATAAATAGAGCAGAGAGTTCCTTACATTGCTTTCTGGAATGGCGAACCTTAACCCTCTGAACCCTAGCCCCCTGAATGGGTCTCAAATTATTAGTTACCCCTTGCCTATCATCTACCACGCACGTCATGGAACGTAATCTACTCAGCCACCGGTTCTTAACCCTATTCATAGTCCTCGCTAAATTGCTATTAACCTCAGTTTCTCTCTGTTTATGTTGCTGAACTACCGGAGATGAACCAATAGTGTTCTCAAGCTCTTCAGGGATCACCAATTGGTCCAAACCCAATACTTGAGATTTATTTTTCTTCCTTTCCATCCCCAATTCCTGTGCACTATACTCTATTCCACCTCCCAAATTCCCAATTCTGTGTAAATCTGAGCCAGATGACACATCTGAAGCATCATTAGACCAACTTGACATGGAAGATCTGCTTGAAGAAAACTCGTCCTCAAAGATTGGTGTCCTCAACACCGCCCCACTATTCTTCATAATTCTATCAATCTCTCCTTCTTTGAGCAGACCACTGCATTCATCTCCTGAATTCTGCAACACCAATCGATCCGAGTTCAACCCCATCCAATTCAAGAAATTACTCCGGCGCTCCTGAACACTTTGAGGGCTTCTAGTCCACACTTCATATTCAAAACTACTTGATATGTTAATATCAACACCAAAACTAGAGTCCAAGGACTCAAGGCAATTGGGTGTTGACGCATTGCCCTCATGGGCATCAAAGAATCTATATTCTTCATCTTCTTCACGTAAGCTACCCATCATTCCTTGAGTTCAACCCATGAAACCCCAGCTAAACAAAACAACCTTTTAAGCCCTAGGCATTCATTGTGTTGAAGAATTCCCTCTAAACCAAAACCCAAAAAAAAACACAAAAACCAATATCAGTATAACAGCAAAAAAAAAAAAAAACAATATTGAATCAAACAACAAGAATATGGATCCCAATCCACACCCACTGAACCTGGTCTCCAATACAATAAAAACCCATAATTTAACGGTACATATATCCACATATTTTATTCAGATTGTAGAGAAAAGTAAAAAAAGAAAAAACCCTAGCTTTGTCTGACAAATTACAGGTGAAACCCAGTATCAGAATGACGATTGCGAGAACATCGGAGATCAAAATTTGCACTTAAAGCATTGAATTAGAAAATAATTAAAAAAAAAAGTTAACGCATTGATACATGGGTATTTGATGAGCTCACATGGGTTTGGTTCTATGACGTTGAATGGAGTCAGGAAAAGGCATCGTTCGATCGACCCATGACGATTTCGAGCTCTATCTCTCTTACCCAGTTTCAGAAAATGGAAGAAGAACAAAACCGAATGAAAATTGAAGTGGGAAAAATAGGGAGAGAGGAGGGCTAGAGCGCAAGGAAATTCATTGGAATTCAGGATGGGGTGGCTCGAGAAACGATATTGGAGAGTAGTAGCAGTGGGCAGTAGAGAGAGAGAGAGAGAGAGAGAGAGCGGTGGGGGCGTTGAGGTATGTCTGTGTTTGTGAGCGGAGAGCGTACTTTGGTCTCCCTCTTTTCAGAACTACCCACCTCCCCCTCTCTCTCCTTTCCCCATTGTCATTTCTCCTTTTCTTTTTGTTTTTCCTCTTGGTAGTTGATATATATATATATGTGTGTGTTTTTTTTTTTACCATATATATTTTCAAAATAGTTAAAGATTTTCTGAAATTTAAATTTTATCCTAAGTTTTGTTTTGATAATTTTAATTAATTATTTATTTTATAAATAATATACATAAAAGATATTGTAAAATAAATTACTCATATCGTCAAGATAAATCCATAATAACTTCACAATTTAAATTTGAACTTAAAAAAAAATACACCTTTCAAAAACACATACATATTGGAATGAATTTAATAGTGAGCAAATCATTTTTAATTATGTTTTTATATAAAAAAACAAAAAAATCTTGTGTAATGGGTGTGCCAAATCTTGCATTAAATTTGGCAAGATTTCACTTTCTAAAGTTGTCATATTGGCAAAGAACAATTATGACTATAGAGAGGCGTTGTGAGAAAACAGTAAAAGTCAATTTTTTTAGTTTTTTTAATTTTTTTACACAAAAAAAATTATAAAAAAAAAGTTAATTTTTTCAATATAAAAGAGGTAAAAAAATTAATTTTTTATCAACTTTTTAAAACACCACAGAATCCTAATTGAAAAATAGATTTTGTTTTTTTGATGGGTTGAAAATTGATTTAATTGTCAAAATTTTATATTAAAATTGATTGTGCTAATTAGAGTGATATCGTTAAAATTTAAATTTTTTACATAGTGATCAATCAAAAAAGAAAGACAGTTCAAATTATTTGTGATGGTTAGAAAATTTCTAATTTAGAAAGGACTTTGAAGAGATGGTCCAAAACGGGTTGTTTGGTTAGACGATGAGCATATCAAAATTGAAAAATCATTAATTTTTCGATTAAAAGAGAACAATAAAAAAGGGATACAATGACGATCAGATTAAATAGCGTCAAAGCGATGCCGTACTACAAAAATATAAGATCGTGATAACAACAAGGCCGCTGTTTCAGCACTGGATGTGTAGAAAATTGATGTCCAAGTATAAAAGAAGACCAAGGGAGCAGGGTCGACATATGCAACAATTTTCATACAAATAATTCACTTGCACTATTTGTCATTTATTATGAAAATATTAACTTGATCGTTTAAGTGTTCTCTCGACCGAACACTCTATCAGCTCCTGACCCATCTTGCTTTCAAAAAGTGAGGTAATATAAACTTCTACATTATCAAATCAAAATTTATTATAATTCATTGTGATACTTAGTTATGTTAAAAAATTATGTTGGTTATAATTACATTGTGATGGTTCTAATACAATTGAAGTGGTTTTTTTTTTTTTTTTTCTCTTTTTAGTATAAAAAAAAAATTGATATTCCATTCAACGATTGAAAGTAATATTGAATATATCTTAATGTTAACATGTCAATAATCAAATTCATTTTTTTGGGTAAAACAACTGAAAGTGAGACCATGTATACTATAATAATATGTAGTTATTTTAGAGTGTGAATAGTAAAATTTATCTATAGAGGAACCATTTAATAATTCAATCTCTTTGGATATAGTAAAAAATGTAATGAATACAATCATTAATTACTAAGTTTTGAGTAAACCTACATTACAAGATTAAATGTCATTTCAATACATGTGCATGTGCATGTACATGTATTTTTATTTTTATTTTTTTGTAGTTTAATTCTGTATGTATTTCACTCTTTAAGTTTTTGTATGATTTTCTCATTGTTTTATACTATAAACATAGGATATTCATGTATGTTTTTTTAGCCATTTGAATTTGTTATCTTAAATTATTTGAAACTGATTATAAATTTTGAAATTTTCAAAGTAAGAAATTATAAATTTCAATTTGAAAATTTTATTCATGACCAATTTCACTCCCATTAAATTTTTTGTTTTTTTTATGCAGCTTAAAGTTAAAGTACATATGTAATTAGTCTTTCAATCTTAATGTTAAGTATGTGATCGGTATCTTAATCATGATTGTTCAATTTAATATATATTTTTTATATTCATAACTAATATATTACCCATTGACAAAAAAAACAAAAACAAAAACAAAAAAACCTTTATGTCAAGTATCAAATCCTTAAAGTTAACTTTTATTAATAGGAAAAACTCAAGTTTAAATATCCAAATTAGAATTTAATATAATATTCCCAAAATTTATTAACTACAATGACCTTGAAGATTGGAACTTTAACTCTCATAATTTGATCAAAATTTCACTTAGGTCTCTATTATTTTAAATTGAATAATTTGATCCTTACATTTTAATTGTAATTTCAGTTTGGTCCATCCATTGAAATTGGAGATTAAAATTAATAATCTTGAAATACTTGTTAGTCTCATAAGATGTACATATAGAAAAAATTAATAAAAATTTAGATGAAAAAACCAAATTAAAACTAGATTTAAAAGTGTAAAGAGTAAATTGTTCAAATAAAATTTAAGTCAAACTTTACCCTATTAAATATCATCATATAATGGTTTCATGAACTTGAGATGCTCTGCAAATGGTAATCAATACACAAACCTACACCAATTGAGTAAACCTTAAGCATTTCTAATTGGAGGCTTGAAATATAACCACACACAAGAAAAAGTATTATTTTCTATTTCCGAAACCAAAAGAAAGATTTTTTTTATTATTTTTATTTTTTTACAGTAGTTTCCAAAAAGGTTACATTATACTTGTTATGGAATATGACTACAAAAGGGTCTTTCTACTTTCGTCTATGGAATAACATCCCATAGCATTTTTAGTGATGGGTGTCAAAATAGGAATTACAAAATCAATATTCATCTTAAATTTTGGTTAAAAAAGTCAAAAATATTTGGTTTAGTTAATTTTTTTAGAAATTTCAATACTCTATATTTGAAGAAATTTCACTGTGTTCCTTTAAATATATTTACAAAAACTCCACAAAACTATAAAAATAGTATGATAATTTTTTACCAAAGATTAAAATTTTGAAAAGACATACAAAACTTTCTCCATAAGAAATTTTGTATAGTTATCCCAAAAAAGGGGGGGGGGGGGGGGGGACTTTTCTAGCAATTACTGCATGCATAAGCATTTCTTAGATTCTAAAAAAACCATAATAAACTATTATAAAAAATTATCAAACCCATCGTAATGGCATGTTATAACTCTTGTCAAAGTTAAAATTTGACAAGTTTCCCAAAAATATTGTCAAATTTTGGTACAAATTTTGGTAATTAACTCAATTCCGTACAACTTTTTCTTTATATTTCTTTCCTAATGGGTTCACAAATTACATTTTTATTTGACATTGTGTAAGAAAAATAAAACAAATAGCATTTATACTATTAGAGCAACTCTAGTCATACTTTTTATTTTTTCCTAGCTAAAATACAAAAATGCTATATTCTTTAAGAGTAATAGTTGAGACCTCACCCCTACAAGACCTCACAAATCTGAACCACTCATGATGTGGACCCCACACATACACATACATGGAGGGTCAGGATTACTTTGGGAGTGTGGAGGTCACCCCCAAAGGAGGTCCCAAACATTTTCCATTCTTTATTTTGTCTAATTCATTTTTTATCTATGTATTCTAATATTACTCTTTATTTTAGTTATTTGTACACAAACTATTTAAAGAGTCTTTCAAAACTTTTCAAATGTAGTAAATCTTGAAGAATTTTGTTCAAATAGCTATTGTAATAGCCAACCCCTTAAAGTGACTGAAATATGATGGTACTAGTTATAATAGTTAACAATTCTCGTTTAAATAACCTCTTAAAAATGCTTATGATTGCCAAATTATAATATTTTAATACTGTAATATATCAAATTTTAGCTTTGGTGTTATTATTTTGACATCAACTATTGGATATGCTCCAACATTGATTAAACAATGGCAACGTATCCTTCATGATAAACTCGTGATATTATTTATGCCCTATTCTTATACCAAACAAATTGTCAAGATTCACAAGCAAGAGGTAAGGCTTATTTGAAGGGCGATTTCATTGAATTTTAAAATTTTAACTTTGGTGTTCTAATTTTTTATTTTTATTTTTTTAAAAAAAAATTGTAGAAGGAAAATAACTTAAATGAAATTATACTGATAAAATTCAAACTCAGATATCACGTTTAATAAGATAACACTTCATGTGTAGTAACTTAGTACATTAGGTTTACAAGAGTGACTAATTTTCTTTATAGGAGCAACAATTCAATGCATAATTACTAATAAGGTCAATTTAATTAAAGTTTATGCCTCCATTAAAGCCCTACAAGTTGTTGCTTATGCTTCCATTAGTTCCAACAACTTACTTCAATCAATTTGATTACAACCCTCCCACAACTATTATTTTATTTTTTTTTCACCCCTTGCTTTTGTTGTCATTGCCAACTATGTTTTCATATTTTGCACTTTTGAAGCGTGAAGTACAGACATTAAACCATTATTCTTAGGGAGTTGTCTAAAGCAAAAAACAAAAAGAAGAAAGACATGCAATGATGTTCATTATAATATTACTAGAAGGTGTGCATATTGATAATTGTGTTATGAAAACTAATCAATTGATCTTTTATTGATTGACACAAAAAATTATAGATGAAGATTAAAAAAAAGAATGAAGAAATAAAAATTTGAAATTTAAAATAAAAAGTGAAGCAATTACAAGATAATTTGAGTATAACATAAATTAAAAATTAACACATGTCATAACACATCATTGTAAGTCAAATTGTGAGAGATTTTTAAGGGTATCAAACATTTTTTAATAGAATTATAGATTAGATAATATGAGTAGTCATATACCCAAAAAAAAATGCAAAATTTATATATAGGATAATGTGGTTATATTGGAACTTATTATTTTAAAATAGAATGTCTGTTAAAAATGACATTTAATTACATGAATATTATTGTTATGTTGTTCTAGTGACAAATTATGTATGAATAGCTTATTTCTTAATATTTGTTAATTTCTTGTTTTTATTGAATTGGGATTGAAGTGATGAGTAAGGATCCTCTAGAGTGATTTTTTCCT